CTGGCATGCTCTGAAGACGAAAAGTTTGACCATACCTGGCATCATTGTTCTCTGTATGGCTCAAAAACCAGTATCATTTACAAATTAATCAAAAACTATTAGCAGAAGCCACAAGGTTTCATAATGATACAGCAATGAGTTCTGATGACAAATTAGTTTGCTCTTTGTCAAATTCATTTGCGTGTTGATTGAGAACAACATTTTGCCTGAATTCAATAACTTCTGTTCTGCGTTGCCTGAAGATGATGTGATTTTCATGATAATCAGATGAACGGACTTGGACGTGTTCGAAAAAAAGGGTTTTCGAAACATTCAAACTGAAAAAAGTTTCACGATGTACGTCATAGAGTGCATTCGACTCGACTTGAGACATTCTGAAGTGCACATTGTGGATGTAAAGCGTAGATAAATATGATTGTGTAGAGGCCTGCATTATGTTTGGCGTTCACAGCACACGTCACTGTAGAGGCAGTGCAAAGACACAGAGAAAAGTGGAACGTCCAACACAGAAACTCGTGCCGTTAGGGTAGGTCCGAGGATTTATCTACTGATTTATTGCACTATAACGCTCACACGAGTCTAGACAGTGGATTAGTCCAGTAGGAGCTCTGCCATGACTCTGTGTAACACTGGTTTCTGAGACAGACAGGAAGTGCAGCCTGTTTGCAGCGAGTGTGTGAGAGAGATGTGGTTTACAGAGGCCTGACTGGTCCTGTGCACTTCCTGTGTGCACTTCCTCTTTCTCTACAAAACTGACTTTCTTCTGAAAACATGACAAAATACAATACAGAAATCATACTTTATTTTAGAGTAAAATAAGGTACTTTCAAATCCCATCTGAATAATAAAAACACATAAAAACACTTGTTTTCCCCGATTTGAGCATCGTTTGGTTCTGCAAACAATTCAACAAACAAAGCGGTTAACTGAGTTCAGTCTGTCGTGAATCAATCACATATTCACTGCGAGTTCAAACCAACAAAATTCAGCCCTGCCTATATTCCTGTATTACTCATTAGATCTCATATTTTCTATTTTACAAGAATCCATTTTCCTCTCACCTTTTTAATGTGGTTCATCCTGATCAGCACTCCTTGACCCCGTTCATTGAGTATGAGCAGTTTTTCAGCCAGTTTGAACTGGTAGGCCATGATCCCTGTCCAGATGAGATGATCCTCAGTGAAACAATGAACGCTGCGGTCTTCACAGATCAACACTGACACCCATTCTGCAGAGAAGGAGGCGCTTACAGAGCTTCCGCTCCTCATGTCTGAGGCACATCTCAGCACTGACACATCTGAGTTCTTCTGCAT